TCTATCTTTCTGTGTCTTCATCTTTCTCTTTCTTGCTGCCCCCCCTCTCTCGTTCTTGCTCTCTCTCTCTCTCTCTCTCTCTCTCTCTCTCTCTCTCTCTCTCTCTCGTTCTTGCTTCCCCCTCTCTCTCTATCTGTATCTCTGTGTCTCCATCTTTCTCTTTCTTGTTCACCCTCCCCCCTCTCTCTCTCGTCCCCAGCGAACCTGACAGAGACATGCGTGGACACCATCAAGAACTGTGACGGTTACGTAAGGGCCTACGCCAGTGCCGGAGGTTACTGTAACACGTACAAGACCCAGGCCCAGCAACAGTGTCCTTTTACTTGTGGCTTCTGCACCAGTGAGTGGACGGTTTGTTGTATGAACAGTTACATCCTACATCCTACATACACACACATACTCACGTGCGCACACACAAACACAAACACACACATGCATTGACGCATACACACACATACACTCATACACACATGCACACACACATACATGCGCACACACACATACTCACGTGCGCACACACATACACACACATACTCATGTGCGCACACACAAACACATGCACACACATGCACATGCACATGCACACACACACACACACACATACGCACATGCACACACATACGCACATGCACACACACATACACGCACATACGCACATGCACACAAACATACACGACACAGCAGACAATTCTGTCTGATCCTTATTCGTTATGTTTGATACCATTGATGACAGCCAGGTTTTTCTTTACGGACAGGCAAAAGCAATAATGTTTGCATGAACTGATCAATTCTTCCAAAATCAAAGATGCTTGATTTCGAAGGTCAAGATCAGGTAGCTTAATGAAAATTATGGCCCACAGCCAATCAAATGGCTACTACTTGTCACTTGACTTCAAGGGATTTGATCGTTTGTTTAAGCGTGGAATGCGATAAACCATACAGAACTTCTCTGTCTTACTGATGAAGAGATGCAGAGGTCTGATTGATATAGTTTTGTGTTTTCTAGTGCCATAGCACGACCAAAGATGATCTCATTTTATTTATAAATACATTTGATAAGTTGGCATCCTTTGTTAGTCACTTTCCGACTCCTACCAAATAGACGCCATCTGATTGTTATCAAAAGATGCACATGCGATTGTTAGCTATTGCATAGTTAGTTATTGCAACATGTGAGCTTGATTTATGATGATTTGTTTATGTTGTAATCAAGTTTTTCTTTCCAGATGAAATGTTTCTCTCTCTCTCTCTCTTTCTCTCTCTCTCTCTC